ACTCTCTGTTTTTACTACGCTTTGTGCCGTTGTCTGTCACTTATTCGGCGCCAGATCGCTTAGCAAAACATGCCAGTGTGTTCATTGGCAGGTGCTACAGGCGTTATCGCCGCTATACCGTAATTTGTTGTGCCCGAGTTACAGGTTTAGTATCTGTGGTTTATTGTGATGGCACGGTTTACCAGATTATATTTTGGAAGCTTTCATCGTTGAAGTGCAGGCTGCGTGGTGTTTTCTCATTGCTCCACAGAGGTCTTCAACATTTCATGGCATTGCCGCACGTGTGTTAATTAAGGATGAATTGAAAGTGAGGTTTCAAATGAAAAGTTAACGATAATGGACAAGACTAGAGGCACGGTTAAGTTTCTTCCATGTTGCTTTGCATTTCTCTATAAGCATCAGGCCACTGTTCGACTAAACAAACATACCAAACTAACATTTACATATTTGTAAATGTTTACATATGTGTACCGCTTTAAGTGTAAGACAACACTTTGTTACTTTTGCTGCTACCTAAACACATAAAACAAGACCCAGTTTAGCCTGACTTCCAGTACTCGTAGACGACGCAGGGTTAGCTTGCCACTCTGTACTGCACTTAACGTTTACTTACCATTTGGAACAAAGCAGCAACCGTCGGAAGTTTGCCACCGCCTCCTTAGTCTTCTTCCAGTCCACTGTTTGCACGGAACTGTGCTCATCCATTCTTAGAATAGGAGTGTTGCTCTTTTGTTGTTGTTTTATTAATCAAACAGCAAAAACAAGTACAACTTCCTGCCTTACTTCTTACGTCTCCCGCCAAATATTTACGGAAGCGAGCAAAGCGCATTGCCACAGTGGATTGGTCGACGGGCATACCGGTGATGACGTAAACCCTGACGTAGGGGTTTTTGTTGTGTTTTTTTGAGAATCGGACGTGTAAGTCCTCTGTAAGTCCTCTTTCACAACATCCATGAATCTTCTCTCTGGTCTTTGTGTTTTTCTCCTGCCCGGCAGCTCTATATTCAACATCTTTTGTCCGATATATTCACATTCTCTACACATGTTCTGCCTTGCCTCTCTGACTTTTCTTCAACCTGCTGAACCTGAGCTGTCCCTCTGAAATACTCATTTCTAATATTGTCCCTCCTGCTCACTCCCAATGAATACCTTAACCCTTGGATGCACAACTTACCAATACCTACACTCTTCCACGAGTGTGGTCAAAAATGACCCCAAATAGAAACAATGCATTTTGCTATAAACTCGGTTGTTATTCTTCAAAATCTTTAAAACAAAGAGTTGTAATATTTTCATATTTGAGGTATTCCTCATAAAACATGTTTGTCACATGAGGCCCTTTGCATTTTTATTTATTTTTTCATTAATTTTAAGAAATTGCAGTTTTTGTATCATTTGTATCACTTTTGTATGCTTGCTCTGCATATACTGCAGAAGCTGGGTCTTCCCTCTGAAAGGCACAAGTTGTTCATCCACTGTAACACAATCACTAGGGATGAATTTCTGCCTGCAGTTGACCAGGAACAGGCCCCATATGTAGCAGAAAGCTGCCATGTGGTTTGTTTTCAGTCGGTAGGCTCTGGTCCTCTTGTCATCAAAGTGCAAGAAACTGCGAATATCTTCAAATCTTTGAATTGACATAGTGGCCTTGAACAATGGGTTATGCAGAGGACTCCCAAAAAAACACGCTGCCTGGTACATCCCAGTTATTCTCACTTCCTGCAAGAATGGTCAATCAAATGAAGGCCAGGAGCTAATGTTTGATTACATTTTTCCACTCTTTTCTCCTGTCTGTGGCTACTCTTTGTGCCTCCATGTTTGTGCATGTCAGCACCTCTTCTATTAAATTATCAGACATGAACATTTTCCATGCATTTATTGGGGAGACAGTACTAAACCCAGGTGCAAGCCCTGGCCGACTAATTCAGAATATTGTGGCTAGAGCAGTAAGAGGGGCTCATTCTGTTAGACCTAATATCCATTTCCTCTTCAGAGGACTCATCAGAGGACTCCTCTGTGTCTGACTGGCCTTGTTCAGTGGGGGGGACAATAGTCTGGGTCCTCTATATCTGAGATGTCAGATT